AAATCCTCGCCACCGGAAACCAAATTCAGAACGCTGAGCTCTGAGCGCCAAGCCCTTGAACCTAACCCTGCAACACTAAACCATCAAGCCTGAATCCCAATGACTGGCATCCTGAACCTGATAAGCTCGAAATGCCTTCCCAAACCTTCCCTGAACCCCAAACTCGACGATTCGCCCTTAACCGGAAAGCCTCAAAAACGAACCTCCGACTTCCAGCCCCCAAACCCCCAATACCTGCTTTGCACCTCCTTGGAGACGGGCCCATGGCATCGTGGCCGGTGAGATCTGTGTCCATGCTCCGCCTTTGAAGCTTATGTATGTGAAATATCTGCTTAAATGAAGGCTTAATTACCTAAACCCTAAACCCTAAAACAGGTTTTATGGTGAGGGAGCAGGGGGGGAGGGCTGCGAGGGGTTCGGGTGCTTGGGTTACCGCAAGTTTCTAAGGCTCAAGGCTCTGGGGTTGGAAGTTTCGGGGGCTTCGGGGCCTCGCCAGCTTAGGCCGCCTGCCTCTCTTTGATAAGCCAGATAAAGGTGCTAAGCTCCCAAGGATCTGCGTGATCTTGTCTTTCCGAATGACTGAAATGTCTTGAGGTTTGGGGCTCCAGGATTCATATCAACTTGGCGGATTGACTCGAGTATCTGGATCCTAAGGCCCTCCGTGAAGATTGGGTCGCAAAGACAAGTTCAACCCTAAAGGTCCTAAAGCGTATGCCTGGGACCAGCCATGAGCTGACATATGCATGGGGTCGGGGACAGCATATCAAACCCGGGCCACATAGAAACAACCCGAATTGGAGTGAGAGAGCCTCCGAAAGTGACATCGTCGCCAGACCCTGATATTCCGAAGAAGCCATGCATCCGAGTTGCTTGAGATGGTGTACTTCCACATATCAGCACCTGGAGAGTTTGGTCTATCTGCACCAGGAGCATCCTTGAAAGCGTAACGGCTAAGAGCTTACACTCGGCCTCCAGCAGAGGAACATAGCATCTGATTTACAAAAGCCACATGTCTCTCTGGCGCAACTACCAAAACCCGAACAACAAGCATTGCAACTAGGGTAACGAGTCGTGTGAATAATTGGCTGCCCAAGGGGCTGGAAAACGCCCCATTCGTTCCCGTACCTAGCATCGAGCGCAGGGAACATGGCATGAACCCGTCGTAACACCGGATGGCTTGAAGGAACGCTGGGGTTACGAGTCTGGCCAGCTCATCGAAATGCGGGTATAACCGCTTGAGCCATCTAGAGGATTTCAAACACAAAACCACAGGCATAAACCCTCGAAGCTAAATCTATGAGTTTTTCGACGCAATCTTTCACCCGCAACGCCAACACCCAACTGCCCGACCTCGAAACCAACCACAGACCAACACCATACACTCCGGATCACATTTTGCCAACTACATAGTTTCCTAGACCGTAGCATTTCAAGACTTGACCTGCGACCCTGGCTCAGGCTTCGAACTTCGAGTCGACCGTCCATCCCTACACCAGATCCCGAACCCTAAAGCTCCAGTTACTTAAATAGTAGGCTACTAAGGATATAATAGGTAACCCGGAAACCCATTATTTACCCTAAGGCTCAACATAGCCCAACAGCCTTATAGAGTAAGGTCTTTGGGCCCAAAAGCCGTAAACTATGAGTCCTTAGAGCCTTAGGGTTAGGTAACTGGAGCCCTAGGGGAAGATAGAAATTTCAGGTTTGGGATGGTCGGCTTCATGATAGCGAAAAGCCGCCCAGTGCATCCCTATACCCGAACCTGGGACCCCTTAAACCGTAGACCCCTCATCCATCCCCAAATCAATTCCTTATAAACACTGAATCATAAACCCTTATAAACCCGGAATCATCAACCCTTATATACTCTGAAGCATAAGCCCTTGTAATCTCTGAACTATATAAGCCCTTATAAACCCTGAATTATATTATCAAATCAGGTCCGGGAGTCCATATGGCGAAGCTCCTGCATAGCTGTAGAGATCTCCGCTCACATGCACGAGGCTGTGCCACACCTGCCGTTTAAGGGTTTAGGGTTTAGGGGCGTAGGGGTTTAGGGTTGGGGTTTAGGGTTTAGGGTTCAGGGATTAGGGCTGAAGGCTTTGCAGCTTTCTGGGGTTCACAGTGACGGTCCTTATCACCAGCCCATCCGTCAGCCCTAAACCCTAAAAAGCCCTACAACCCCTAAACCCTAAACCCTATACACCTAAACTCTACACCCCTAAACCCTAAACTCTAAACCCTATACACCTTAAACCCTAACTCTTACCGGAGAAAGGTTTCTGGGCTTGCGTGCCATCGACTGGGGGCAACAAGTACGCCCTGGCTTCTGAAAGATGATCCTGATTATTTTGCTGCGACCGACCTACTTTCCAGATGTTTGGAAGGATGTGCTCTGGAATTTAGTCTTGCAGGGGAGGGACAGAACACTAGCCAGGATCGAAAGAGCCAGACCCAGTTGACCTCAGAACTTTATAACTCAGATAGTCGAGAATCCGAGCCAAAAACCTAGTGACACGCACAGGGTTCAGCCCCACCTTCCATTAAAAAGAGTGCAGCGTGACCAGTGTTGAAGAGTTTATAGGGGCTTGGAGAGTTCCTCAAAAACGGGTCTGAACCAGTAGACTGGGTTTTTCTGGGCATACATAAGGAGCGGGTACACAGGGAATGAATATGTGTGTATATATATATTGTATAATACACGTCTAATTATCTATATATATATATATAGATATAGATATAGATATATATATATATATATATATGGAGATCTTACTGCTGAAACTCTTCATACCTAAATATGACAGCCCCCTCGAGCAGCAACTCCCTTGCAGGTGCCTTTTGCTGTGGGCCCCCGCCGGTCATACTCCCCGTGAGATTGACCCAGTCACCAGTGGAAATTTCATAAGAGTACCTTTGCAAAGTCTAGAACAGTTGCCATGTTCGCACTATCAAGAACAAAATGTTCAGGACCTTGCATATGATAATGGTCGTGACCATCATGGCCAGTATGCCGTGGTCATTACTCTAGGCTGACAAATCGCTGGTAGCTGATGTCAAGAGGACTAGCACAAGGGCCCTGATCAGGTTTGGGAGTCATGTTATTGCGCTATGATTAAGTAGGTGCTTGCATAGGGGAATATTACTCAAACATCAAACTCTGAACCCCAAAACCCTAGAGATTTCACTAAGGGCTGTGAGCTTAGACTTCCTTCGTTTTGTGAGAGCACTGATCGACCGGTGAACTCAGGTTTGTTGCGTCGGAGCTTTAGGGCTTATAAGTCTAAGAACCTAGCTGTGCGGCTTAGGGTCTAGGGCTTACGATTCAACAGTTTATGGGCTAAGGATGCATAAGATTTGGTTGAGGTCAGCCAGGAAGGCTAGCGCTGACGTGGGATTGAAATCGGTACTATACCTTACAGCCAACCTTAAACCCTGAACTGTTTGCAAACTCAGACAAGCCATATTGCAGAAGCCATCATGTAAGCTGTCTTCCTGAAGCCACCCCTCTGACTGTTGCCTCTTTGGGGCAAAGGTAGGACTGAAGGAAAAGGCTGTCTGTCTGTGTGCACCCTCAACGAAATTTTGCCAGAGCTTCCGCGAACTGAATGCTATGCCCAGACCATTAACATCAACATCACAGTCGTCCACCACTTCATCAACCCGAGGCGCTACTTTGGTGAAAGCCCAATCTGAAATCCTCGAGACATCTGTAAACCTATTTTGCTTGAGTCCTAAGTCCAACACCCTGGACTCTCAACCCTACAATCCGTGGCTGGTAGCCTCGTCCCTACGCTTTGAGCAGGCAGAAGTCCTGATGGCTGACACTAACTGACGAATAACCCGACACGAAAACCCTAGAGCCTAAAACCCTAAACCCTAAAGCCAAAACGCCCAAAAACACAAAGAAAGCCGAAGTGGAGTGGAGGCACAGGTCGTGGCTGGCTCCCCAAAGCTGGAGACCGCCGTGGAGATAAATCTTATCCTGCGGGGGCTTAGGGTTTAGGGTTTTTGGCTTAGGGCTTAGGGCTGAGGGTTTTGGGGTTTCGGGCTTCGGGTTTAGGGCATTAGGGTTTAGGCTTTAGGGTGTTTGGCTTAGGGTTTAGTGTTTAGGGTGATCTTATCCTGCAGGGCTCCGGGTTATAATGTATGAGACCGTAGTCGTCTTCTTACTGTGATCGTGGTGCTCAGTTGTGGGTTGGGGTTCTGAACACTCATTTACCTAGACCCGAAACTCTGAACCATGTTCGAACTCAGAAGTGAATGGCAGTGAATGGTATACATACCAATAGCAGTTCCGGCAGCGTTCTTGGCTTCCGCCTGAACTCCGATGTTAACCGTCTTGCTCGGCTAGCAGCAGGTACGAGCACGACCACGACTGCCATGTGGCACCAGCTACTGCAGAGGAATAATACTCTACTCTGTAGCACAGCTGAATACCTCTGCATACCATATCCGATGGCACTCCAACTCTTGAAACCCTGAAGCCTGATCCCCCAAACCCTAAACCCTTGTGAACTGGGTACAGTTCACCTGGTAGCCCTGCTATGCTTCTGCAGCTTGAAGATTTGCCCCAAATCCCGCTGAAGAGAATACTGAAATGTCAAAGACAGCCTCTGTCAGAAAAGCCACGTGCCCTGCACTTTAGCCAGCGCTCACAGGTCCATGCGTCGTCCTACGACAACCTCAGCCCTCCCGCCTCAGGGACCTAAGCCCATAGAGCATCGGGATGCACATGTCTTCCTCTACACATCTCGCAGGATTCACACTGACCCAATTTTATTGGGACAAGTGCATCCTGACGCCTGTACATTAGGGGAGTTCCAGACAACTCAATCCGACAGCCTTTGAGATTTGAAGGGAGTCTATGTAGACTCTTGAGAGAGGTGTATGGGTGTGCTGGGCTACCCTGACATTCGGAGGTCAGGGGTCTGAACTCACCGACATTCGGAGGCCGGAGGTTTGGCAAGCCATTCTATAGCTTGTCGCCGCTGAGCGTCTTTTTCGAGAACTTTGGACGTGTCGAAGAGCTTAAACCTTCCCTGGGACAGTACTGTTCTCAACAGCGTCGCATCCATGACTTTAGTCAAGCAGTCAGCTGCCTGGAGTGTGGTGGGTATCCACCGGAAGCAGGTATTTTCAGCGCAGCGCTGTTTGATCAGCAGCACTTCCAGAGTCGTTCGATGCTCTTCGCAGGCCGGCATCGCCAGGCGAGTCACCAGATCATACAGGGATTTACAGTCCGTGACAATGATGGCTAGGTTAAGCTTCTTGTAACTCTCCTCGGGCTGTTGCCAACGGAATTCGGGCACATGCACGACTCCCCAAAGAGCTCGCATCCAACCTAGCATGTCCACAGCTTTAGACATCGCGTATGCCTCGGCACTTAGGGTGGACCTAACAACCCTAGGGATCTTCTTAGAGGTCCAGGTTAGGGGTGACAGTGGAGCTTCGCGATTCTGGTTCATGCGGCTGTCTGTGGCACAGACAAGAGCTCCCTGGTGAGAGCTCACGGATTTGGAGGAAGCGAAAGATGCATCGCCAAACGACACAAATGTCAACTCCTGTGTCGGGATTGCCAAAAAATGAATGCTCACCTGACATTGCTCCTGGGTTTCTCGTAGAACCTTATTGGCATCTAAGAGGGTCTGAACATTGGCTTGCGTTATCTGGCTTTGCAGGCTTCCGAGCTTGGCAGCCATGTCTGGACGGGTATGCGTCACAGCGTACTGTAAGCTTCCCACCAAGCCTCGAAGTTTGGACCTTTCAGCCTCTGTTACGGTGGCTTCTGGTTGAATCCTACGAGGCCGACCAATGTCAATCTGTGGGATGTTCTTAACGTATTCCCCCTGTGACGCTCGAATCGAGAAATCAGGAAACTGCTCAAGATGGATTCCGGTGAACACGAAGTTCCTGAATTTACGGCTTCCGAATGGAAGCTTTGTCTGGAGGGCTTGTATCTTTTGGGTGAACTTAGCATCGCCACCACAGACACCATCATCCACATGGACCCCCAGGATTCCATTCAAGACTCCATCACTGTACAGCAAGAAGACACAGGGCTCTAAGGGGTGTTGTACAAAGCCAAGACCCTTTAATTGGCTACTGAGTTCTTTGTAAAAAAGTAGAGGTGCATCTACCCTTCCATAGGCATTTCCCAGAAGCTGGCAAACTTCGTTATCACTCATGCTCAGCTCTTTTCGGAGTTCTCTTGGGGGCTCCATTGCAAGAGGATTTTGCTGATCAGCTTTACCACGAAGAAATGCCGTCTTGATGTCAAATGAGCTCAGCTCAAAACGGGAGGATGCTATGGTCTGCAACACCAATGCCCGGCCTTCTTTAGATAAAGTAGGGGCATCCCTGGCTACATCTGTTAGTTTGGGGTCTTGATAACCAAGGACTACCAGGCGGGCTTTGGCTCTCCTTTTCGTTTCTCCGGGCTCCGGATTTTTCCATGTCAAAATCCACCTGCTCTTAAGGATTTGCTCAGGATTCAAGCGGTGCCTTAAAATCTTTTTGATGGCTGAAGTCTGGATCCAACACTGTATTTCTTTGGCCTTAGCTTCATCAAATAACTGTTGCTCAGCCCTTGTTAAGTCCTTCACGTGGACTTCTGCGCGGGCTCGTTTGCTGACGGCTGCTAGTTGCACCATGTGTTCAGGATTGGCCTCCTGAGACCACCGCTTGATGTCTTTGGCCTTCACGGGAATCTCAAGGCAAAAGGCTTGATCTTCCTGACATTCTAACGGCTGCTCTACATACGGCAGATCGTCTTCGGCCAAAGGAAGTCCTGACGCACAGGCACTGGTGTGCAAAGCTGTAAAGGTCAGCAGGTCCTGACCATCAGCATCCGTGACTCCCGCAGCCGGACTTGCTAGCAACACTTCCTCAGTGAAGAGTCCATCATCGTCATCATCAGGGATAGGAACTTCAGCTGCGGTGGGAGACACTTCATTGTTTGCTTCAAAACTCCCGGAACTGCCAGCTTGATCGTTCACACCTGTAATTGAAGCTGAACCTGATGGAATTGGAGGGGCTGCGGACTCAGCATTGCTGCGAAGATCGCGCTCAACTCCATTTCCAGGACCATTACTGTCAGGATTATGAGACACCTGAGGGGTAAGCTCTTGCTCGGGTTGAAAAATATCTCCTTCTTCCTGCATGGTTGGTGACGTCTCAGGCCCGGCAGGTCTTGCGACGGGCACTAACATTTCAACACTCTGCGGTGGAGGTGCTGAGGCAGGCTGAAGAGGGGCTGCACTTGTATTTGTTAGATCAACATACGTGCTCGCACCTCCAGCATTCTGGCTGGGAAGATCAGCAACCGCAGTCGTGAGTTGTTGCCACTCACGCAAGCTTGCAGGTCGAAGGTTCTCTGGAGCACAACGCAGTATGATTGTGCCGTGCGATATCCATGTGATCGAAGAGCCTTCTTGAGAAATCACACGGGCCGGACCGTGCCACCTCCCTGCTGCCAGCCTGTTGGGGGAACCTTTACGCATCCAGTACAGTACCCAATCGCCAGGCTTGTAGGGACCACGGACAGGATTGCTGCGGCGCAGCAGGGCACGGCGGATGGTCTGGCTATTGTCAGCCTCCCAGAAAACTTGTCTAGCACGGCAGCGCAAATCCAAACGTCTTCGATGCTTCTCAGCTTCAAGGTCATCCCCTTCTACAGCTGCATGGGAACTAAGGTCCTCATCTGATGTTAGACTACCGGGTACCCGAAGTGATTTTCCAAGGACAATCTGTTCTGGGGCATACTCTTGGTGACGCATCAAAGCATTTTTGGCTTGAAAGGTTTGCAACAAGGCTTGATCAAACATGTCATCGTTTACTAGGGGGCTCTGGGTGTCTAGCCGGCTTAACATGTCCTTTACTACATCTCCATGTCGCTCAATTCTGCCTCTCTGCCAAGCGGCAGCCGTGACGAAGGTTCTTATGCTTAGACTCTGGAAGTGTTCCAGAATCTCCTCAGACCTAAACTCACCGGCGGGGTCAAGGTATATCTTGCGGGGATTGCCGGCCCAGGACAACCAGAAATCTGCGAGAGCAGACGTAGCGTGCTGCGTTCCACGCGACACTGTGCGACGGCCTGTGTGAAAGCAACTGGCTTCATCGAGAGCATGTAACACGTACGCCCTATACCCCGATTTACTCTTGAAAAAGAACCCGTCTATACCAACGAGGTCATTAAACTCCAGGGTCTCAGGGAGCTTACCGGGCCTTTGATGACGGGGCTCTGTTGATTCCAGGCATGCGTCGCATTGAAAGTCCAGTGCGGCATCTACCATCTCTTGCCTTTCGCCGGCAGCCTTCAAATGTTTCGCTAATGTGGTAGGGGCAGGATGGCCTAAATTGTTGTGGATGCGCACTAACTGACTCTTATCTTCCTTGCTCAGATTTCTGAAAGCCGGACCATGCAACGGCACCGGTGGTGGAGCCCAACCTTCAAGGTTGATTGCTGGGCTGGCCGACGATCCAGGTGTTGAGCTGCTGTTCAACTCTGACCCTAGAGGAACGCTTGGTTGAGGAACATTTTTGCTCTTACCAAACACTGTAATTAAGACGTCCAGGAGCTCAACACGGTGCTTGCGTCGTTCATGGGCCATCGTGGTGCGGTCTTCATTACCAAGGCACAAAAGTTTGACCTGGTTATCAGCCGTTATACTTTGTCCTAAGCTTATGCGAAGCGGGGCGACTGTTGAGGGCAATGCTCCAAGGGGGTATTGTAGGTTGCGTACTTTACGGCCTACGAAGACCTGAAGGATTTCAACCGTATCTAGTAGGAGCTTTAGTTTGGCAACAACCTCATTGTTCGACGACACGAGTACAGTCCCTTTGATGGTGCAATTTGCGGCTGATTCAAAGACAGGTCTCCAAACTTCCATTGGCAACTCATCAGAGGCATGCACGGGATTTGCACAGCGACGCTGGGGAAGATGTCGCTGGCCGCCCTCGGGCGATTGCTCAGCTGTGCGCTTTTGGGCTTCGATCCGGACTACCGGGGCTGGGGTACCTACGGAGGTCTTAAACCGCTTACGGGTAGAGGGTATTGCCGAATCCACAGCCAGTGCTTTTTCGACGCCCTGGTACATAAGCACTGCTGACACGTGCTGCGCAAAGCCTGGGCAATAGGATCCTGCAAACTGCGACGTGGGCAGTCCTTTTAGGACCCTTCCGGACATTCTCTGGTGAGCATGGTCCTCAGGACACTGACGGTGCTGCAGACTACGGGTCACTTCCTTAGAGGTGCTAAAGACTTGTACTCTCTTACGGATCGGATGCTTAGACACCGGAGTCTGTAGACCAAAAGTGCACATGTCTACTTTGGAAAGCTGTGTACCCCTCAAGATTGGGATTAGGGCGGGTATATTGCTGGGTTTCATCAACCCTGGCAATTCCATGTGGAAATCACGCAGATGTCGACGCTGCCACTCGAACAGCTGGGCACACAATTCGAATTGGGCTTGTGACGCCTCGCGGTCACGCAGCATCGCTTGGTGATGCTTGGTGCTTCTTGATGCATTCAGCACAGACCATGCACTCCAGCAGCGACTGTCAGGCGTCACCCAGATGTGACGCGGCTGAGTATGCTCTATCAGCTCCCAAAGTTGTTGCTGACCTTGTGGGGAGGACAAATCACCATCTTGGCACGTGAACCTTTTGGCTCTGCCTCCTAGATTATTCACCTCAGTTGTCAACCTGCTGTCGGACAAGGCATAGATTTCTAAGAGGTCGAGGATGGGTTCAGAGGGTGAACTCCACAGTCTTTGGGACTGATGATGCAAGTCCTCAGCTCGCTTCAAGGCAGCAGAACACTCCTGAGCAGCATGAGTGGCAGCCTCCTGGAGAGACATGCCCTCGGCAGAACTATTTGTGGAGTCCCGTGGTGGCTCCGGGGAAGGATTACAAGCTTCTGATGATGAGACCTGGGGCTTGCCAAATTGTAACCGTCTTGGAAAGGTAAACCCATGCCGCTTCAACCATCCGACTTGTTTAGCTTTAAGTTTGTAGGCATGTTTCAAGGTGTACCCTACAGCTATGATACGATCTCCTTTCCAGGATGCGGTTGCATGCCACTCATGGGGATCCACGTACACCGGCCCATGATGGATGGGCTGCAGGAATCCCTCAACGCGCTCACCATTACAAGACATCGACTGTTTAGTCACATGCTCTTGCTCGCTCTGTCCTGCAATCCACAGCTCTCCTCCGGTTCTGGGCACGGCTATCGGGACAAGGAGGTTCTTGTGCTGCTTGGAATTGTAACTATCGCGGTGGGGTGAAGATTTGATGTTACAGGATATTCCTATGGAGGTGAATGGCTGTTGAGGGTCTGTCATCCTCATCAACCTTGCGATGACTCGCGTGAGCCACGGAAACTTCAGGGAAACCCGAGTAACACCAACGATCCCTCCATGCATGTAGGTTCCGAACATGAGGTAAGCTGGAGGTTTACCTGCGGCGGTGCTTGGTTGGGCAGTTGTTCGGTGAAGCTTACTCCAACGATTCTGTACATCTTGCCACGGAGCTACCTGAAGGAAGCTCTTTAGGTCACGGATATCTGCTTCTCTCTGAATTAACTCCCGGGCTTTATCCTCTACGTCCTGAAGACCTAAGTTCCCAGACTTATCAAAGGAATTCCCTGACCTGGCTCCGGAGCTGCAAGTGTTCACTGAGCAGGTGGTGACGTCCTGATTTGCTGAAGCGTCATCAACACCTGCTCCATCACATGCTCTAGCTGAGTCATCCGCGTGGCTAGAGACGACACTTGGTTGTCGAGAGCGGGCTCTAGCTCGCCACTCACCGACAAAAGATCCCACTGATCTGTGGTGGGACCGCGATCGGAAGGCACGACGGCATGTCGTGGATACGCCTTTGGCTTGGGCTTGGGAGCCGCGGTCCTCGACGTAGTCGTTGCGGGCTCGGCAGAACCCTCGGCGCTCAACAGCTCGGCCTCGATCTGTTCCGACTGTTTGACATACTTCTCCACGAAAATCATGAAGGCTTTGTGGTTGTGCTTTTCGGAATTTTTGAAATGGTCTAGAAACCACTTCGTCCAGTCCCCCTCGTTCTCGACGACGTCCAAATAGGTCCGTCCTTTCATAGCCTTGCCGAAGTCGATCGTCATGTCCTGCAGCTGTTCCAGGGTTAGATTCTCTAGCTCCTCGAGCGAGAGATTCAGTGAGGGATTCCTCAACCTGGCAAAGCGGGCTGCCAAGTTGGTAGCTCCTGTCGACATGACACTGGCAGGCCTGAAGTGCAGACTGACAGGGAACGGACGGGCTCACACGGTCTTTGAGCTCAGGCGCGGCTGCACTAAGCTGTTTCGCACTCTCCTGTTGGCTGGTGTTCACAGACGGATCCTTCGACGTCTGCGATGGCTCGTTAACGGCTCCTACCTTTTGGCAAAAGGGCCTAGTATATGAATTCGACTTGTCTATCCCCTTATCACCCTGGTAACTGGCTATACACCCATCAGCTATCACGGGGATCTCAGGGCTGACACACTCAGGCATGCATGAGGCAGTGATTGGAAGAGTCTCGGAGCTGTCTTCACACACGAGCTGGCACTTCTGCTCCTGACTACTTTCCTCACACAGGCGGGCGAGGTCTATCGTGTACAGACCGGTTGGCCCAGTGCTCAAGTGCAGCTTCTTCTGTAAAAGCTTGAGATGGCACACGTCCTCACAGGTATCGATAACGCCTCCAAGTTGCTTAAGGGCCTTCTTACTGAATAACAGCGGCGTTGATCCTGGGACGATCTCGATGGCAAGCCACAAAATCTGCTGATGCCCCGTGCAAAACGGCAAAAGAACCCGAAGCTCACTAAGCAATGTCTGGTTATTGCCGAACCGAAACTTCACTGAGCTCTTCATCACCTTGATCAGAGCACGGGTGGCATCACTCAGCTGGCTGACAAAAGTTGCTAGGAGGCACTTTCCCATGACACAGCGACTAGCTCCCGTATCAAGGATGGCTTTTATAGGCTCATTAAGAACATAAGCAACCTCACTAGGGGCAGTCTTGGCTTTCCTAAAGCTGTGTCGCACAGGCTGCCTAAGGAATCTTGCGCTGCTAGCATGCGAGCTCTCAGTCCATAAGGCCTTCCCAACGCTTGTTTGCCTGTGCTCAGGTTTGGGTTCTCGGGGAATTCGGGCTTGCACTCTTTGGGTGAGCAACTTAAGGCTAGCTAACACGGCATTTCTACGGTCATCACTTGTAGCAACATATGCCTCGGCCAAGGTGATCGCCTCCTCTGGCACGGTGATAAGCACTGCAGCGCCATCCTGGTCAGACGTCATCGTTGCAGCGGCGGTCTCCACCACGACTTCTGCCATGGTTGTCGTGGCTTCCCCTTTTCCGCTCATCGATCCGGGACGTCCAAACTTCGGACACTCTGCCTTCCAGTGCCCTTTCTCACCACAGGCACGACACACACTGCGCGCTATGCGCGCGAGCAGCTGATCACGTGAGCTCTTTCCCTTGCCTTTGCCGCCCTTGAAAGAGCGACCACCCTTGTTGCCCTTGCCACCTCCAGACACTGGCCAAAAACCTCGGGACTTCTTTTTGGCCAATAGCCGGCCCCTTGCTTCCATATAGGAAACAAGGGCTTCTTGTAAATCTGGAGTCTCCTGAAAGAAACCCTCTAGCTCCTCCTCGAAAGCCTGAATCTGTAAGGCATCGGCATCTTCCGAGGCTGCTAAGGCCTCCAGGTACTCAGGCTCGAGCTCGTTGTCGAGCTCGTCGAAGTTGGGAGCCCCAGCGGCTGTGCTGGCTTGGAAGGCTTTCTCAGGCTCATCTGTAAGGGCTTCATCAAGCGTGTTAGCATCATACACCTTGTGTCTCTGACTTGATCGTTGGCCCTGCATTTCACCGAAAAACTTGGAGCCCAGAAGTCGAATTGAGGCCTTCACCTTCTCATAGGTCAACTTCCCACTGTGCTCAACCACAATCCTCTTCTTATCGTCGCTACTCAGCTGTGATTGGCGAAGCAGAATGTAAGACCGAAGCTCCTCAAAGGTGATGTTCTGGGCTAGCAACTCCTCGAAATGAATATCATGCCTGGCCAAATAGGAATCGTGAGTCTCATCATTCCGTTGAACAGTACCGTAGATGGCCTTCTCGAACTGTTCGTATTTCTCTTCCAAGATTGTCTGACCCCAGGCCCCGCCCAAGGTTCTCACAATCAACTCCACTCCTGAAGTGTCATTGGCCTTAAGCTTAGCAGCATCCAAGCGACTCACCTTCTTGAACGCCGTGCCCTCGCAAAGAAGAGCCACTCTTGGTCCCAAGACACTTAGCTGTTCCTTAGGCCAAACATCAGCTAGGAACTTGATCTTCTTGGCATACTCCGTCGTGTCAGTTACACCTGGCACATAGCGAGGAATAGCAGCCCAGGGTAAGGTGCTTTTCTCATCACTTCCTGGCGCAGGATTCTCTGAGGCAGTCGAAGTTGATGCCATGATCCCTGGATCCCGACTTTTCCACTACCAGCGGCCCACCGCCCTTGTAGCGAAGTCACAGAGCTCCGCTACCAGTGTGAACTGGGTACAGTTCACCTGGTAGCCCTGCTATGCTTCTGCAGCTTGAAGATTTGCCCCAAATCCCGCTGAAGAGAATACTGAAATGTCAAAGACAGCCTCTGTCAGAAAAGCCACGTGCCCTGCACTTTAGCCAGCGCTCACAGGTCCATGCGTCGTCCTACGACAACCTCAGCCCTCCCGCCTCAGGGACCTAAGCCCATAGAGCATCGGGATGCACATGTCTTCCTCTACACATCTCGCAGGATTCACAACCCTAAACCCCTGAACCCCTAAACCCTAAACCCCTAAAACCTATAGACCCTAAACCCCTAACCCTGAACCCCTGAACCTCTAAACCCTAAACCCCTAAAACCTAAACCCTAAACCATAGGCC